GCTTTGTGTGTGTTATTGCTGTTGGAAAAAATACAAGTTGACAACTTAAGTACATGCATTTGAATATTATTGAGAACATTTGAACAACTTTTAAAATCCACACAACATCTTTTAACAGTGAGTTGTGTCAAGGCTGGGTAGGCTGGTGGAGCTTCACACTGTATGAGTCACTGAACTCTTTCTTCCACTGGTCAAAGGAGTGGTTTATCTGGTGGCGCTTCAATGAGTCCGAGTCCCTGAAACTCTTCTCACACTGGTCACAGGTGTAGGGTTTTTCTCCAGTGTGGATTAACTTGTGGCGCTTCAATGAGCGTGAGTCCGTGAAACTTGTCTCACACTGGTCACAGGAGTAGGGCTTTTCTCCAGTGTGGGTTCGCTTGTGAATCTTCAAATTGCTTGACTGGATAAAGCTCTTCTCACACTGGTCACAGGTGAAAGGTTTTTCTCCAGTGTGGGTTCGCTTGTGAATCTTCAAATTGCCTGACTGGGTAAAGCTCTTCTCACAGAGGTCACAGGAGTAGGGCTTTTCTCCAGTGTGGGTTCGCTTGTGAATCTTCAAATTGCTTGACAGGCTAAAGCTCTTCTCACACTGGTCACAGGTGAAAGGTTTTTCTCCAGTGTGGGTTCGCTTGTGAATCTTCAAATCGCTTGACTGGCTAAAGCTCTTCTCACACTGGTCACAGGTGAAAGGTTTTTCTCCAGTGTGGGTACGTTTGTGGCGCTTCAATATCCCTGAACTCCAGAAACTCTTCTCACACTGGTCACAGGTGTATGGTTTTCCTATTGTGGCTGTAGACTGATGTTGATCCAGCTGTTCTCCGATGATACTCTTCTCCCCATCATCATAAAGTCTATCTGGGTCTTTGCAGGTCTCTTCCTATAAAACAAAACAATAAATCAACAGAGAAAGTGACACAAGTGTATTAGAGGACACATATGAATGTCTTGATGCAAGTTAAAAATGGACGTGACAGAAGTAAAGTAAGGTTTTTAATGAAACCCGAGAATGCATTCTGACTCGTCGTAGCCTAAAATACCGCTGAATAAAGGAAGAAGTATAAATACCTATTAACTTGATACAACAAAATAACAAAGACGCACTGATTGGTTGATTGATTCGGACTGATTTGTTTTTAAAATAAATACAAAGGGGTTGGCTCTCACAGAGACATTTTTTTAAATATTAACATAAACATGCTAAATTTAAATGTGTTTTTTTCAACCAATATCATGATGGAATATTGCATACTTTATCTGTTATAAGGTTAGAGTTATGTATAGCTAAATACAAAAAACTAAAAGGGTTGAAGCACACAAACTTGTTTAATTGTTTTATAAATTAGTTATAGTATCCAGGTATCACTAGCTATTCAAATATCTACACCGTGAATTTGAAAATAATGAAAATTAAATGATCACATTATATCAGTAAATTCAGAGGTAGGAAGTACATTTACTCAGGTACTTGTACTTAAGTACAATTTTGAGGTACTCCATTTTATGCTACTTTGTACTTCTACTCCACTACAGTTCAGAGGTAAATGGTGTACTTTTACTCCACTACATGTATTTAAAACCTTTAGTTACTTCACAGATGTGGATGAATGATGTGAAATCTAATCAAGTGTTGAATCAGACTTTAGTTCCACCTGGAGTGAATCCACAAGCTACCCTGCAGTATACAAAGTCATTCAAACTAGCTGCACCTTTACCAGCTTTGAGAACACTTTCATGATCAATCATTATAAAACATATCATATATATTATTCTGAAATGGACCAATCTGCACAATGAATACTTTTACTGTCGCTACTTTAACTATATTTTGATGATAATACTTTTCTACTTTTACTTGAGGAACATTTTGAATGCAGGACTTTTACTGTAACAGAGTATTCCTACACTCTGGTACTTCTACTTTTACTCAAGTACAAGATCTGAGTACTTCTACTTTTACTCAAGTACAAGATCTGAGTACTTCTACTTTCACTCAAGTACAATATCTGAGTACTTCTCCCACCTCAGAGTAAATGTGAATGATCAGATGTTACCATCTCCTTGTATATGCTACTGTAGCTTTAGCACTCACTATTTGCTACAGGTGACTTCCTGTTTACATCTTTGATTGATTTTGCCAGATGTTTCCTAGCAACCAATATGATTCACTCAGTGTAACGAACGCTTTTTTAATTCTTCATTGTTTAGACTCAAATGCAACCATGTAAACAATTCTGAAGACTTAAATCAACAGGACTCTAGACTGCTAAACTTTAAACAGAATTTCATTGTTTTCACTCAAATATGAATAATTACTTTTCATTTCATTTCAAACCTTTATTTATCCAGGTGTATCCCATTGAGATCATTGATCTCTTTTTCAAGGGAGACCTGCTCAAGTAGGTTCCACATGAAACATAAAAACTTTTAAAGGTTAAAGTAACTTACCTCTGCTGATGAACTCTTTCTGCTGCTTGTGTTCTCGTCTACCTGAAGTTCAGCCATCTGCAATAACAGAGATTACCACATTACTTATTAGCCAACCACAGGAATTAAAATAAACATTTAGTGTTTTTCTAAATGTTAACCTTGAGACCATTAATTTGACAAAACAATCACTACCACAAAGCTCAAAGAGAGATGGAGTCCATCCAGTTAGACACTTGCACATCTGACACATAATAGACACATATCTTGTTGTGCTTTAGTTTGTGCATTTTTTAAATAAATGCAGCTTTAAAATAAGGTAAAGCCATATATTACAAATATAAATAAAGACAATAAATCAGTCTTACTTGTGCAGAGAAAGCAGGTCATACATTTCAGTCCCAGTATCCAACATGCAGAACAATAAACTCTATTTTCATTAAATATCAAAATAAGTTTGAAAGAGTAAAATAAATCTCCCTCTGCCAGCCAAACAATAGCTCCCGTAAACATCACATAGAAACGACCCAGCTGCAGAAACGCTGTTTTTCTTACCGTTGATGTGTGAAAGTAGTTTCAATAACTCGTGCCGGTTGATGGACGTCTTCACGTGGGTCAGGTTTGAAAGATGCACTGGTGTTTCCATGGTAACACAATTCAAAGGTTCCAATTCAAGTTTTATTTTGATTTGACTTTGCTGTTGTTGTATTTGTGTTATCTGTTCCCTCTAGCTTAAATAGAGGGTTGTGCTGTGTATGTTACTTTAATGTATTGTATGCAAAATCCACCATTGCCCCGAAGTATACTTGTATTCTGCTGAAGTGTGTTCCAGGTTGAGGGGGCAGAGTATGATATGGCTTTTTTCCCAAGCTCCGTGCGTACTGAGGGGATGGACAGAGTGATGTAATTTTGAGATCGTAGTCTATAGCTGTACTGTTTGTGTGATATGTAAGTGGATATGTAGAGGGGCAGCAGTCCAAGCATAGCGGTATAGATGAGTTTGTACCAGTGCAGTGATCTGCGCATTGATAGTGTTGTCCAGTTAACTAAAGAGTACAGCGTGCAATGGTGTGTGAGGGGTTTACAGTTGGTTATGAACCTCAGAGCCCCATGGTAAACAGCGTCCAGCAGATGAAGGGAGTGAGCTGAGGCGTTCATGTACACAGCATCCCCGTAGTCCAAGAGCGGGAAACATGTGGCAGCTACAAGCCGTTTCCTAGCACTTGTGGAGAAGCAGGCCTTGTTTCTAAAAAAGAATCCCAGTTTTAATATCAGTTTCCTTAAAAGATAGTCAATCTTAGTAGTCATAGATAGTCAATAGTCCAGTTTCTGTAGGTGTGAAAAGCTTCAATGGCGTTATGCTGGGCAGACATGATGCAGGGAAGAACAGTTGGTAACTTTTTCTTCTTGGAAAACAACATGACTTTTGTCTTGTCTGAATTTAACACCAACCTGAGGTGGAACAGGTATGACTGAAAAGTGTCAAAAGCAGACTGCAGACGTTCAAATGCAAGGGCAACAGTGCTAGCACAACAGTATAGAACAGTATCATCTGCATATAGATGTACAGAGGCATCAATATTTTGACGCACATCATTTATATAAATTGAAAAAAGGGTGAGTCCCAAGACCGAACCTTGAGGAACACCTCTGGGCACAATAAGAAAGCTTGAGGAGAGACCGCTGAATTGTACACATTGCTTGCGATTTAAAAGATAGTTTGAAAACCAACCAACAGCTAGGTCAGACAGGCCTATATGGGATAACTTCTGGCATAAAATGCCATGGTCCACAGTATAAAATGCCTTGGATAAGTCTATAAAAAGGACAGCACAGTAGCTCTTTGCGTCCAAGCCTTCAACAATGTCATTCACTACTTTCAAAGCAGCCGTTACTGTACTGTGCTGCTTCCTAAAGCCTGACTGGTGAGGAGATAGAATGTTGTTCAAGCTTAAATATTCTTTGATTTGATCATTCACCAGCCTTTCAAGTACTTGAGCTAAAATAGAGAGCTTGGAAATTGGTCTGTAATTATTCATCACCATGGGATCACACCTTTCAATAAGGGGAGAACATTTGCAGTTTTCCAAACATCTGGAATGACATTGTTTGTTATAGAAAGATTAAAAACATGACACACTGGTTGGGCTATAATATCTGCAGCTAGACGTAAGAAACAAGGGGGGAGATCGTCTGGGCCTGCTGATTTATTGGGGTCTAGGCCCTTTAGAGCCTTACAAACATCCCCAACAGAGAAAAGGTCGAAGGAGAAAGTGTGGCTACTGGAAAAAGTGATGTAACATCTAATGTAAACATGAATGGACCAAGGATAGACCCCTGTGGAACCTCTTTCTGAGGGTAAAATGGCCTGAATGAGTACAGTCAGCAACGGTAATAGTTTATGGTTCAAAGCGACGCTCTATCTAGCTTATGTGAGACTAAAGGCTCTATACACACACTTTTAGAAATCAGTAGGCTTGAGCTTGTTGTTCAATTACCACATATTTATAACATTATTACATTTAAGTGACTGTGGTGCCTTGTTCTTTAGGGAGCTTTGTGTGTGTTTTTGCTGTGGAAAAAAATACAAGTTGACAACTTAAGTGCATGCATTTGAATATTATTGAGAACATTTGAACAACTTTTAAAATCCACACAACATCTTTTAACAGTGAGTTGTGTCAAACAGTCCACCTCACTCTTTCTGAACAGTCTCAGTGCACTAGTGAAGGTTTTCTCCCATGTGGTCTGGTTCTCTGAAACTCTTCTCAGGGTGAGCACAGACGTCAGGTCTTTCTCCAGTGTGGGTAGGCTGGTGGAGCTTCACACTGTATGAGTCACTGAACTCTTTCTCCCACTGGTCAAAGGAGTGGGTTCGCTGGTGGCGCTTCAATGAGCGCGAGTCCGTGAAACTTTTCTCACACTGGTCACAGGAGTAGGGTTTTTCTCCAGTGTGGGTTCGCTGGTGGCCCTTCAATGCGTCTGACCGGATAAAGCTCTTCTCACACTGGTCACAGGAGTAGGGTTTTTCTCCAGTGTGGGTTCGCTTGTGAATCGTCAAATAGCTTGACTGGCTAAAGCTCTTCTCACACTGGTCACAGGAGTAGGGTTTTTCTCCAGTGTGGGTTCGCAGGTGAATCGTCAAATAGTTTGACTGGCTAAAGCTCTTCTCACACTGGTCACAGGAGTAGGGTTTTTCTCCAGTGTGGGTTCGCTTGTGAATCATCAAATCGTCTGACCGGATAAAGCTCTTCTCACACTGGTCACAGGAGTAGGGTTTTTCTCCAGTGTGGGTTCGCTTGTGGCCCTTCAATGAGCCTGACTGGCTAAAGCTCTTCTCACACTGGTCACAGCAGTAGGGTTTTTCTCCAGTGTGGGTTCGCTGGTGGACCTTCAATGAGTCTGACCGGTTAAAGCTCTTCTCACACTGGTCACAGGTGAAAGGTTTTTCTCCAGTGTGGGTTCGCTTGTGAATCGTCAAATAGCTTGACTGGCTAAAGCTCATCTCACAGAGGTCACAGGAGTAGGGGTTTTCTCCAGTGTGGGTTCGCTGGTGGACCTTCAATGAGTATGACCGGTTAAAGCTCTTCTCACACTGGTCACAGGTGAAAGGTTTTTCTCCAGTGTGGGTTCGCTTGTGAATCTTCAAATTGACTGACTGGCTAAAGCTCTTCTCACACTGGTCACAGGTGTATGGTTTTCCTATCGTGGCTGTAGACTGATGTTGATCCAGCTGTTCTCCGATGATACTCTTCTCCCCATCATCATAAAGTCTATCTGGGTCTTTGCAGGTCTCTTCCTATAAAACAAAACAATAAATCAACAGAGAAAGTGACACAAGTGTATTAGAGGACACATATGAATGTCTTGATGCAAGTTAAAAATGGACGTGACAGAAGTAAAGTAAGGTTTTTAATGAAACCCGAGAATGCATTCTGACTCGTCGTAGCCTAAAATACCGCTGAATAAAGGAAGAAGTATAAATACCTATTAACTTGATACAACAAAACAACAAAGACACACTGATTGGTTGATTGATTCAGAATGATTTGTTTTTAAATGAATACAAAGGGGTTGGCTCACAGAGACATTTTTTTAAATATTATTCAAAACATGCTAAATTTAAAAGTGTTTTTTTCAACCAATATCATGATGGAATATTGCATACTTTATCTGTTATAAGGTTAGAGTTATGTATAGCTAAATACAAAAAACTAAAAGGGTTGAAGCACACAAACTTGTTTAATTGTTTTATAAATTAGTTATAGTATCCAGGTATCACTAGCTATTCAAATATCTACACCATGAATTTGAAAATAATGAAAATTAAATGATCACATTAAATCAGTAAATTCAGAGGTAGGAAGTACATTTACTCAGGTACTTGTACTTAAGTACAATTTTGAGGTACTCCATTTTATGCTATTTTGTACTTCTCCTCCACTACAGTTCAGAGGTAAATGGTGTAATTTTGAGGTACTCCATTTTACAAGATCTGAGTACTTATACTTTTACTCAAGTACAAGATCTGAGTACTTTTACTCAAGTACAAGATCTGAGTACTTCTACTTTCACTCAAGTACAAGATCGGAGTACTTCTACTTTTACTCAAGTTCAAGATCTGAGTACTTTTACTCAAGTACAAGATCTGAGTACTTTTGCTTTTACTCAAGTACAAGATCTGAGTACTTCTCCCACCTCAGAGTAAATGATCAGATGTTACCATCTCCTTGTATATGCTACTGTAGCTTTAGCACTCACTATTTGCTACAGGTGACTTCCTGTTTACATCTTTGATTGATTTTGCCAGATGTTTCCTAGCAACCAATATGATTCACTCAGTATAACAAACGCTTTTTTAATTCTTCATTGTTTAGACTCAAATGCAACCATGTAAACAATTCTGAAAACTAAATCAACAGGACTCTAGACTGCTAAACTTTAAACAGAATTTCATTGTTTTCACTCAAATATGAATAATTATTTAACCAGGATTTTCACTTTTAAAGGTTAAAGTAACTTACCTCTGCTGATGAACTCTTTCTGCTGCTTGTGTTCTCGTCTACCTGAAGTTCAGCCATCTGCAATAACAGAGATTACCACATTACTTATTAGCAAACCACAGGAATTAAAATAAACATTTAGTGTTTTTCTAAATGTTAACCTTGAGACCATTAATTTGACAAAACAATCACTACCACAAAGCTCAAAGAGAGATGGAGTCCATCCAGTTACACACTTGCACATCTGACACATAATAGAGACATATCTTGTTGTGCTTTAGTTTGTGCATTTTTTAAATAAATGCAGCTTTAAAATGAGGTAAAGCTATATATTACAAATATAAATCAGGGTTGCCAACTTTGGGTACCTGGCTGGAGTGAGATTTTGATATCATGGGTTTAATTACACATATGCGCACTAAATGACTGCTATCGTTTCAGTAGCGGGACCTTAGCATATATATACACAAATACACAATATTGGACACAGACTATAAAGGGCACAACGTTTCATTCACTAATGAAAGTCAAACACATGTTTTTTTCCACTGTTTTATTGTGTGCATAGGCCTGTCGCGATAAGCAATTAATTGACTTATCGTACTATAAATAAAAATGAACTCGATAACTTTTCTGACCTCGATAAATTGCCATTTACACGAGGATGTGAGTAGCAGTTTGAAAGGATGTACTTGAATTATTATTATATATGATCATTATGTCAGTGGTCAAAAATGGTCATACAACGGTGCCGACAATATTATCGTTTATCGCAATAATTTCCGGGAAAATGTATCCAACAAAATTAATTATCGTGAGAGGCCTATACATGAAACACACAGACACCAACAAGTCTACAGACATACTCCAAACTGCAAAATATATTAATTAACGCACTCTCTCTCATATACTCTTTGACTCTATTTTGGCCTAGTAGAACAATAAGCAGCAGACTTTTACTTTTTATCATTTCTACTGGATCTTAGATCTGCGCATGCGCAATACGGGTCGGGGATTGACCAACCGGCTCCCACTGCTCTGCTGTCTGTTGACGTTGTTAAGAGTGGTGGGGGCGGGGAGGGAGCGGATCGACAGCTTGAGCAGCTGTCAACTCAACATTGTAAATAACCAACCAAAAACGATCGCCGGTTCATCTTGTTTTTGGTGTGAGAATAGTTTGGGCAGCGTGAGAGCGTGAGATTGATAGTGAAAGCGTGTGTCACACGCCAGATGCGTGAGAGTTGGCAACCCTGTATAAATAAAGACACTAAGTTAGTCTTGTGCAGAGAAACATACATACAGAAACATACATTTCAGTCCCAGTCCCATTTCAGTCCCAGTCCCAGTCCCATTTCAGTCCCAGCCCTAATCGGATTGGTGTGTCCCGCACCGTTGGGTCTTTTCAGCCGACCCGACGCTTGTTCGGCCAAAAACCCGCCGATGTTGACAACATCGGCGGGTTTTCGGCGAAAGTAGTGTGAAAGTAGTTTCAATTAGCCGCGCACTTAGTGCCAGCACTTAGTACACCCATGGAACTAAGAGCCGATCGCATTCACACCGGAATAAGTTCCCTGAGGGAAGATTACGCAAATGAAGCCGCTGGCGTCACTTCTTCTTCTTCTGCTTTGGGTTTACTGGCAGGCCGCAAACCACTTCACGGCGTATACTGCCACCCGAAGTCCCCGGCCGGAAGTCCCCGGAGTTGGGGACTGGCTTCAGTAGAAAAGCACCAGTCTTTCCTGTTCACACCGCAGCGGAGCTGCCTCTAATGCGGCTTTCACACCAGCGCTTTTCCCATTCTAGCTCCGTGCTAGAGCTTTTCTGGTTCAGCTCCGGTTTCCCTTTGCTGCTCCCGCTTTGTTCACACCGCCCAGAGCCCGAATGGTGCTGCCGCGTCATGACGTTACCGTTTACATTGCTGATTTTCTCCCCAACGGCGCTCACAACAACAACGGGGGACTGCGTTGGGTCGATGATCGTGTTGCTTTTAATCATACGAAGCCAGATTAAATTAAATAACGACTTCTCCAACCTTATACTTTTCTCCAGAGTGCCGTGGTTCATTGTTTATTAATGTGTTTCAGCGGCATTTACCGACCGCTGCAGTGCTGGCTGCTCTTCCACGGGAGTTTATTCTCCCGTTAGCTCCGGGTTAGCTCACATGGTAGCGGCCGCTCTAAAGTATTCACTGTCTGACTGTCACACAAGCAGCTGATACATATCCCCAGTTCCCCTTAAGTGAATGTGTGTCAGTCTGAATTGACGCTGTTTGGCATCACAACGCTGTTATGAAAGTTTATCTGGTATAACATGGGTGATGTTAGCATAGCAACCGAAGCTAAACTGACTACTTGCTATTGCTATCCTATTGTGGCATAAGCCGTTTTCTACAGGCACATTTTACCGGCGTATTTTTCATTATGATTCTACTTGTGATAGTCGGACATGACAACCTGTGCAGCCCATGTATCGATTCCATCCGATAGCTGCTATAATACAAAACAAAACGTCTGCCTGCTCTCCACAATGATCAATAACAGCGAACGGATGGTCAAAGTAAGGTACAAATAAACAGAATCCCACGAAGTGTTAGGATGGCGTGGAAGGGTAGGACCCAAATGCAGAATATCAAAAAAGGTAACAGGTCTCGTAACAAAAAGCGAGCTTTATTTTAAAAGCTGATCAAAAACAAGGCATGAAACAAATGGGTTGTACAAAAAACTGACCGTGACCAACATGGAGGGAGACAGGAGACAGCCCAGGGGCACAGCGGAGGACCCGGAAGGGGTCTCGGGCGGACGGCCCGGGGGCAAGGCAGAGATCAAGGAGGGGGTCTCGGGCGGACGGCCCGGGGGCAAGGCAGAGTTCAAAAAAGGGCGAAGACCACAGCGGGCGAACTCAGGGGGCCGGGCATGAGAGCAAAGGCAGCGGCTGAAAGCGTCAGGAGGCCGGGCTCGAGGGCGAAGGCCACGGCTGGGGAAATCAGGGGGCCGAGCTCGAGGGCGAAGGCCCCGGCACTCAGGGGGCCGGGCTCGAGGGCGAACAAGAAGGCGTCGACGGGACAGCTCCGGAGGCCGGGCAGGAAGGTGCTGACGGGACAACTCCGGAGGACGGGCAGGAAGGCGCTGACGGGACAGCTCCGGAGGCCGGGCAGGACCCGTTGTCGGCCAGACAGGAACCGGAGCCGACGGAACAGGCGTAGACGGGATCCTGGACATGACATGGACTGGTGTCAATGGGACCCCGGATGGAGCAAGGGCTGGTGTCGACTGGACCTCCAACGGAACAGGACACAGAGTTGGCAGGACCCCCGGTGGAACAGGTGTCGGCGGGACCTCCAACAGGACAGGACACAGAGTTGGCAGGACCCCCGGCGGGACAGGTGTCGGCGGGACCCCCAACAGAACAGAACATGGAGCTGGCAGGACCCCCGGCGGGACAGGTGTCGGCGGGACCCCCAACAGGACATGATGTAGGCAGGAAATCTGGTGGAGCAGGTGTCGGCGGGACCCCCAACAGGACAGGATCTGGTGTTGGCAGGAAACCTGGCGGAGCAGTAGTTGGCGGGACCCCCAACGGGACAGGACATGGGGTTGGCAGGACCCACAGCTGAACCCCCAACGGCACATGACACAGGGTTGGCAAGACCCCCGGCAGAAGAGTAGTCGGCGGGACCCCCAATGGGACAGGACATGGAGTTGGCAAGACTCCCGGCAGGAGAGTAGTCGGTGGGACCTCCAACAGCACAGGACATAGGGTTGGCAGGACCCCCGGCAGAAGAGTAGTCGGCGGGACCCCCAACGGGACAGGACATAGGATTGGCAAGACCCCCGGCAGAAGAGTAGTCGGCGGGACCTCCAACGGCACAGGACATAGGGTTGGCAGGACCCCCGGCAGAAGAGTAGTCGGTGGGACCTCCAACGGCACAGGACATAGGGTTGGCAGGACCCCCGGCAGAAGAGTAGTCGGCGGGACCCCCAACGGGACAGGACATAGGATTGGCAAGACCCCCGGCAGAAGAGTAGTCGGCGGGACCCCCAATGGGACAGGACATGGAGTTGGCAAGACTCCCGGCAGGAGAGTAGTCGGTGGGACCTCCAACAGCACAGGACATAGGGTTGGCAGGACCCCCGGCAGAAGAGTAGTCGGCGGGACCCCCAACGGGACAGGACATAGGATTGGCAAGACCCCCGGCAGAAGAGTAGTCGGCGGGACCTCCAACGGCACAGGACATAGGGTTGGCAGGACCCCCGGCAGAAGAGTAGTCGGCGGGACCTCCAACGGCACAGGACATAGGGTTGGCAGGACCCCCGGCAGAAGAGTAGTCGGCGGGACCCCCAACGGGACAGGACATAGGATTGGCAAGACCCCCGGCAGAAGAGTAGTCGGCGGGACCCCCAATGGGACAGGACATGGAGTTGGCAAGACCCCCGGCAGGAGAGTAGTCGGCGGGACCTCCAACAGCACAGGACATAGGGTTGGCAGGACCCCCGGCAGAAGAGTAGTCGGCGGGACCTCCAACATCACAGGACATGGGGTAGGCGTCGGCCATAGAGCCAACAGGACACGGGGTGCTGGAGTCGGCCGGACCACCGACAGAACACGAGGGGCTGGAGTGGGCCGAACCACTGACAAAACACGGGGGGCCGGAGTCGGCCGGACCACCGACAGGACACGAGGTGCTGGAGTCGGCCGAACCACCGACAGGACACGAGGTGCTGGAGTCGGCCGGACCACCGACAGGACACGAGGTGCTGGAGTCGGCCGGACCACCGACAGGACACGGGGGGCTGGCGTCGGCCGGGGAGCCAGTACTGGAGCCGAAACTGAAGTCGGGACCATGGCTGCTGGGACCGGAACAGGGGCCGGAACCATGGCTGCTGGGGCCGGAACCATGGCCGCTGGGGCCAGAACTGGGGCCGGAACCATGGCTGTATGGGCCGGTTCTGGAGCCGGAACCATGGCTGTGTGGGCCGGTACTAGAGCAGGCACCATGGCTGCTGGGCACGGAACCGGAACACGGAACCATGGCTGTGTGGGATGGTACTGGAGCACAGTACCATGACTGTGTGG